ATTTTCGATCCAATAAATCTCCACTGCTCTTTTATCTCCCAAACGTTTATACATCGCTAATTTTACTTTCTTTGATAATAAAAGCACTCGAAATACTTTTACATTCATTGTTTAAATCAAACTGGTCAATATCGGTATACCGCTATGCTCTCTAAAGACTTGCTGTTAATTATTATGCATTAATTTACAACAACTTCAGAATCTAGAAACTCAAGACATTTGAAAAGAACTGTTGATTAGAAATTTTTCTAAAATTTTCAAAATACTCTAAAACTAGCTATTAAAATAAATTTCAAGTGAATGAAGTTCCGCTAATAGGATTGATAATATGAACTATTCCTTAATTATCAATTACTTACTAAATTTTATTGCTTGGCACTAGTTCACTTCTGAAACTGCTTTTTAATGTCCAAGTAATTAGGCGGTCGCTGTGGTGTAGTGGTCAGTAGTGCGCGCTACCACTCCGCAACGTCTAGGTTCAAGCCCTAGTCAAAGCAACATCGCAAACAAATATAGGAAAAAGGTTGTTTTCTTAACAGCGGTCGCCCTTAGGCAGGCAATCGCAAACCTCCGAGCGGATTTCTGCCAAGAAAAACAGATTCTCATAACAATACAAGCGTCCTTCGGAGTCGGCGTCAAGGCGCACGCCACAAATCGGAGGAGAAGCTCGGCCAAACACTAACATACGTATAATCGCCAATCTATTATTATTAATTCGAATTTTTAGTGTATCCAAATGTATCAAATTTTCTTTTTTTTACGTATCCATCTCATAATTTGTAAAAAAATCAAACATTTTAAAGAAAAAATAATAATAATTTATTATATTTTTCATAAAATCAAACATTTGTAATTTAGATTTATAAATTACATTTTTTGTGCATAAGTATTTTGCAAAGTAAGTATGTATAACAAATAGTAATTAATAAGTTACATTTGTACCTGTACACTCTAAAAAGTGCAGGTAAAACTACTACTGAAAAGTATCAATTTTTCAACAAGAATCTGTATAAATATACGTATAAGATGTTCAGGATTTGATTTTGAACTTGAGATCTTTAAAATATACACATGAAATTTTTAAAATTGCAAACATTTTTAAAATTAAAATACACTTTCTACTAACAAAAAGCATTAGGGGCTCACATTTACTCTATTTTAAACATTTTATGTGTAAAATTGCCCTTCGCGACAAATTTGGTATGTAAAAGTAAACAGGCAATGTTTAATTTTATTACACGGTGTGCAAATTTGCACACATTAAAAGAGAAAATTGGTTACCTCTCTTAATATGCGCAAATAAACAAAAAAAATGTAGGGTGTATTTGAAGACTTTTCAGTAAAATTCATACAAATTTCCTTAAATGAATCGAATTTGGTTTTTAAACGGTGTATTTGAACCTACATTGAGATCTTCTTTGTTTTTAAATTAACAAATCAAAATATGTGATATGAAAGAGATTACTACAGAAAGAGTATCTATTTACTTTATATATATATTAAGATCTTGCTTAAGGCATCCTTTTTAGCTAATTAAAACACCTATTTTGGAGAGATCTCTTCATATGTTCATTGCANATTAACAAATCAAAATATGTGATATGAAAGAGATTACTACAGAAAGAGTATCTATTTACTTTATATATATATTAAGATCTTGCTTAAGGCATCCTTTTTAGCTAATTAAAACACCTATTTTGGAGAGATCTCTTCATATGTTCATTGCATCGTTCATAAAATATAAAATGCTTTCATTTCACGCTTAAGTAGTGATTTTTAATGCATTTAGAAAACGTAATGCTTTCTACCATCTTTAATTAAAATCGATTTTTTAACGAAAAGAACTTTATAGAAACTATAAAATTTTAGCCTATTTAAAAAAGTATCCACATTTATACTGATCGGAAAAAATAAGTATCTCGCGAAAATTCGTCAAAAAATGAATCCAATTGGATCTATTTAGATCCAAACGGCATCCCTTTTTGCCAGCAATGCTTTCAACATACCTATTAAAGAGCATGCAGATAAAATGCATACAAAAGCGCTATGCCCAATTCGCCGAGCAGTTATTAAATACGACGCTTTTCCTATATTTTGTTAGATTTTTCATAAATAAAAATATTTCGTGAATATTACTTTCTTCATATGAAATATATCACATTTCTTGTTTTCTTGGAATAAACAAAGTTATTTTTCCTTCTGTCAGTAAACTGTTTTGGTTACAAATAGTGTAAATAAGCAATGGGAAATAAGGCAAAATAGAGATTTTGGTATTATTTCCCATTTAAAAGTGAAATAAAGCAAATTTTGCGTTATTGCCGTTTGTGTTATTTCCCAAGGGGGCTTGGCGCCCTCCAAACATACTTTTATTTTAAGAAACTTTTAGTTATCTGTAAATACATAAATAATTCTTCGGTACGTGTGTTTTTGAGTGAACTCCTACAAAACGACCGAAACGGTTTTAACTAAGATTTTTTTTGTGTATTTGAATGGGTCCCTGTATAATTTAAGTTCACAACCTAAAACGCCAGGTGTCGATTTATTACTAAAAATCGTATTTATTATCCGATTCGGCAAATAATGCTGTTAAGTGAAGATATCCAAGCATACAGAAAATTCGAAATTAAAATGTATTTCAAAATTAAAATTTCCATTTCGATGAAAATCAAACTTATGAATTGTTTTCTGTCTGGGAGCCGCTGAAAATTCGTTTTTTAGTTATTCTACATTAATATTTGTAAGCATACAGGTTGCGTTGGTATAGACTTAGCTTAACTTGCGTAAGAAATCATTAATGATTTTTGTTTAGGAATTTTCTGATGTGGCTTATAGGCGGCAAATTGAAAATTTGTTCGCTTCTGGCTAAGTTATCTTGTTGAGTAAGCATTGACGATTTCTTACGTAAGTTACGTCTAGACTAATTGACCCATAACTGAGCCTTAAAGTAAAATCCGAAAAATTTTCTCTTTAAAAAAGATTTTATTCTTTATCTTGATGTTCTTTATATGTTTTCCCTTTCAGACCACAGATGGTGAATAAATTTCATTTTAAATTCTCTAGTCGATCTGATTCTCTTATACAGATTAGTATCGGCGACGACGGTAAACACGGCGACGAGCAGTTTTATAGCGATAACCATCATCAGAAGAGAAGCTGTGAGCCGGGGCAGATTCAGCGTAGGATGGCTCGGCGTATGACGTCGAATAGGAAGAAGCGGCTGGAGCGTATGATTCGGATTGATAAGATGGAGCTGGCGCATAGGAGACGGACGGTGATACGGAATAAGATGGAGCTGGAGCCGATGCTGCCGGGGGTAAGTATTCTACAGAAGGAGATGAAGCTGCTGGGGGAAGGTATTCACTTGAAAGTGCTTCACGGCGTCTGCGATGGCGGTATACAACGCGTCTTTGAGTTTTGTATCGGTAGCCATCCGAAGACGAGAAGCTATGAGCAGGTGCTGGTTCCGAAGCTGCATATTCTGGTTCAGCATATGAAACAGATGGAGCTGGCGCAGAAGCTGCAACGCTGTAACTTGGAGCCGGAGCGCTGTATGATGGAGCTGGAGCGGATGCAGCTACGCTGTAGCTAGGGGAAGAGCCACCATAAGATACAGATGGAGCACTATAAGATGGAGCACTGTAAACTGGAGCTGGTGCCGAAGCCGCAAAGCTATAACTTGGGGCTGGAGCACTGTAAACTGGGGCTGGTGCAGAAGCCGCAAAGCTATAACTTGGGGCTGGAGCACTGTA